CTCAATTATTGAGAATAATTTGTGTAGTCTAAGTATTAATTATTCTTAAAAGTTTGGTAGAATTCATGTGTAAATCCCATCAGGACCAGGGTTTTTTTGTTTTGTTTTGTTTTTCTCTTTAGTTTCTTTATAACTGGTTCAGTTTGTTATTTTAAAATTGAATCAAGATTTTTATTTCGTCTTCTGTTCATTTGGGTATTTTGTATTTTTGTAGTGGTTTCTTTTAAATGATCAATTTTGTTGTTATATAATTGTGGATAGTAGATTCTGATAATTCTCTTTTTTTGGTTAACTTTTTCATTTTCTATTTTATGATTTGATTTTTCTCCTTTTTAATTAAGTTAGCTGAGAATTTCTTTGGATTTGTCTTTTCAGTAATCCAATTTTTAGTTTGTTTAATAATCTGGCCATTTTTGTTTCCAATTTATCTATTTCTTTTTAAATTTTCAAAATTTCCTGTTTTATAATTATTTTGGATTTATTTTTTGTATTCTGATTTTAAAAATTTCTTATTAAGTTCGTTAGTCTTCTCTTTTCCTATTTTGTTCGTATATATTTTCAGAGTTATAATTTTTCCTCTGAGAACTGCTGCTATTGGAATGGGGCCTCCCTGAATTCAAAGAATTTTAAAATGAGACTTTTTCCCTACCCACTTCAGTTCTTTCATTTGTGGCACATATCTCCAAGTGAGTGATTTAGTGATAATTCATATGTACTCACTAGAGTGAGGAAAAGAAAACCCATGCAGAAAACTTTCATGTCCCAAAGAGATTTGTTAAAGGATATTCTTTACAGATGACTGGAGATAGGTGTGGGGTATTGCTCTCCTCCAAATCTGTATCCATTGAGTCAATGATAAGGCTATCCTCAGATTGTAGTGGTGGGGCATCTCTAAAGATAATTTCCCACTTTGTCTTCTTTGTATATGCATTCTACACGTGCAGTATATGCTTCCTACTACTTTGTTGTTGTTGCCTTTTGGGAATGGGAATTTCAAGTTGGTGATTGGTGGGGAACAAAGTATTATCTGCTACTTTTGCTGAGCAAGTCACTTAACCTCTGCCTAGGAGGCAGCTAGGTGGCTCAGTGGATAGAGCACTGCCCTTGGAGTGAGGAAGACCTGCATTCAAATCTGGCCTCAGATATTTGCTAGCTGTGTGACCCTGAGCAAGTCACTTAGCCTTGTTTGTCTTAGTTTCTCACCTATAAAATGAACTGGAGAATGAAATGGCAAACAACTCCAATTATCTTTGCGAAGAAAACCCTAAATGGGGTCATGGAGGGTTGGACGCAACTAAAACAACTCAGCTACAACATATATATGATGCCAGGTGCTATGAGACTTACTGGACCCAGATGGGTACTTTACTTTGGACTTATTATTGGGGAAAGAGGGGAAGCCTTCTTGACTGGTTATTGGGATAAAAGAAAAAAAATGAGTCAATTAACACAGAATAAGTGCCAATTTTCTGGCAGGTATACAGAGAATGACTTTGAATTATTCTCTGAAGTCCATGTAGAATTCTATATGTGAAATGCTCTTACAGATTCCAAAGGGGAATAAACTCCCTATACACAAGCTTCTAACAAAGGAATAAGGGCTTTATTTATTAATTTAGATATTTGTTTGTGTATATACATTTTCAATAGTAAGCAATATTAATTCATTTTCATTTCTCAAAGTGATAAATGAGAGCGCTTGCAGTTATAAGAATTTAAGAAGCAAACCATGTCCTTATATAGTAAGAAGGGGCAGAGAACCAGAGAAAAGACATTAGGATAAGCATTGTACAAGTTAAAGTTTTGTGGGCCTTCCTCAAATCTTTAGCTGCATCTCAGAAATTATGGCATATGGTGTCATCATTACCATTTTCTTTCACATAGTTTGTCCAGTTCCTTTAATTATGATGATGCAATAAACATTTATTAAGCAGTTACTGTATGCTAAGCATTATGCTTAGCACTGGGGATACAAATAAGAAAAACAAAATCTCTGCTCTTAAGGAGTTTATAGTCTTAAAGGAGTCAGGGGGAGAATATACAAAAGAAACTGAAAAGGAGAAGAGGAGTGCCAGAGGGTACCCGGTGAAGGGGCATGATGAAAAGACCGTGCAGTTGAAACCAAATACAGCAGCAGATTACAAATGAAGAAATGTCTGGAATTTTGAATCTTCTAAAAAAGGGAGGTTATGGGAGGAGTTTTTTGCTCCACCCTTTAGCCCTCCAATCACAGAGGCAGACGCTGCCAAAGATACTGATGAGGTAGTGAAGCTGGAGCAATCTACGTTATAATAAATGTCCTGGTGATAAGTTTATCTTTAGTGGGGCATGATGAAGATAGTGATGAAGTTGAAGCCAAGTAGAGGAGCTGGTGGCAAATTACCCCATTTCTCTCTGAAAGTAGGACTTGTCTTTTTAGTACAGTATTTCTCAGGTAATACTGCCTGATTATGAATTATAAGAATATTTTGGTTTCCAAAGACTGAAAGTTGAGCACTACCCAAGGAAAAATAGAGTGAGCTATAGAGGGCATGAGCAGGCTACAGCATATTGCAGACAAAAATTTATACAGAAGTAGTGTATTTCCTTCAAAGAAATGTATAATTGAAAGAAGACAATGGGGTGATAATGTGGCAGGAATGAGAAATAAGTGACAGACCTACAGCATGCTTCATTGTTATACTTTTGATATTTAGAGAGCATGAGCAAAGTCTTAACTAGGTTGGGTGGACTCCCATGGGGAAATTATGGATATGAGGCACATAAAATGGTCAGATATGAATGGACTATAATCTGCCTTGTTGGAGGGAATACTTACATCAGTGCAAATATTTTAGAACCATTTGGATATTGGAGAGTTCCTACCTCTCAAGGTTTTTGTGATGATTAAAAGTAATGTACATAAAGCTCTATGTAAGCCTTAAAGGGCATTATAAATGTCACTAGTGTCATTTTTTCAGGTTGAAATATAAGATTAAAGATTATTTTAGATCAGAGGTTCTTAACCTGGGGCCATGAACTTGTATTTTAAAATATTTTGCTAACCGTATTCCCATATAATTGGTTTTCTTTGTAATCCTATATATTTTATGTCTTTAAAAAATGATTCTGGGCTCAGATTCATAAAATCTAGCCACTGCTCAGATTCTGGCCAATATGATGGCTGTTCTAATGAACTTTGTCTTTGGCTGAAAGAAGGCTTAGGTTGAATTCTTTCAGGCAGGACTCATATGTTGTGATTTCAGGGTCCTAGCACCCCTAAACTTCAACATTTTGGTGGCCTGTATGAGGAAGCTGCCTGACCCCAAGCTTTTCTTCAACTAAGACTCTCTAATGTGATCAAAATCACACCAAAATCTTCATTTTCATTCATAGCCTGATGCTGAGCAAACAAAGTCATGTAAATTCTGCTGCATCACCAGTAAATGCAAATAGCTGCTAAAATATTGCTACAAGAAATCAGTGACTTATGTAAAATGAATTGATTTGATTCTTATTGTAAATGGGAAAAGTATGTGTATCCTTTAATCAATAAATATAATGAAAGTAAAACTGGATTTGGAACCAGAAGATCTGATTTTAGGTCCCATATCTCTTTTTCAGTACTGCTTTTACCTTGTACAAATTGCTTAATCTCTCTTGGCCTCATCTTCCTCGTCTATAAAGTGGATAGGGGTTGGGGTGGGAGGAGGAGGAAGGAGGTTGGTTGAGTAAATCTTTATCCCCTTCTAGATCCAAATCTTATAATTCTATGAAAAGTTTGAGAACTAATTTCTACCTTGGTCTGCTCAACATTGAATGAACCATTAAAGCTTTTGTCCCTCTTCTCAGCTTTGTCCTAGTTCTCCTCAGTATTATACCCTTTGGAACCATTTTGTATGAAAAGTTTATATTTAACAGGTTGACTAGTGTGGTTTCATAATCTGAAGCAGCATGCTCATGTTAATATCCCTCAATAATGACTGGATATGCTCTTAATTTATTAATAGAAGGGATTTTCCTAATATCAGTTTTATAACTTAATTTTTGTTAATACCTTTTTATTGACTTTGCATTTTATACATTGGATTTTTTGTTTTGATTCATATTATAAAATTGCTTATTTTAGTTTTATCTATGACGATGAATTTTAGAAAGAACTAGCCTAGAGTAAATGGAGCTCTAATTTTGGTATTATTGCTGATTCACATGTGTGGCTTTGTTTTCAATTTTTCCATCTATAAAATAAGAATAACTATATTATTCCCTTCTAACTCCATTGTACTATTAAAGTAAATAAGGTATAATGAAAGTTCTTTAATATTTTGAAATAGAGGTACTTCATAAACCCTAGACATTGTTCCTATTTCCAGGTCTACCTCTGACTTACTATATGACCCTGATCAAATAATTTAATTTTTTTTTAAATAGGGAAAAAAATATTTTGTTGGAATTATTTATGAATTAGTTGATTTGTAAATTACTTTAAAGTGCTCAGGCAAAAGATATAAGTAATTGCAATTTAAATAGGAGTCATGATTGTTATAAACTATAGCTCTATAGTTTTAAATAAGTTCTCTAAAAATACTTATTAAATTTATAATACAAAGTGTTCTGAAGGTCTTAGTGCATTTAAAGCTCTACTAATAACTATTATTGTTGTAATATAATTGATAATAATAGCTATTATTTAAGCTATTAAAGCTTAAAACTGCATTAAGATTTTGCAGACACCCTATATTACGTATCCATTTTGAGTCACTATTTTAATCTGCTTTTGAAAATGTAGATTTCATGGTTTTTAACCAATACTTTTATTTTATGCAACTGATTTCCATAGAGTTGAATTTTATAGAGTATTTTCCTTTTCCTGTACAGTTTTTTTTTCCTTTGGAAGCAACATGTTTTTTAAATGTGACATGTACTAATGTAAATATTCCTATAGTATAACTTGATATTACTTTCTGAAAACAGCACAGTCATCTTATATAAAATGTGTTTAACTTTGAACTTCTTTTTAGGCACTGCAAGTTGTGAAGCCATCAGGAATTAACATGGGGACAGCCATGTCAAGAGGATTGTATCATCCAGCAACAATCTTTATGGGCCGCCAAATGCCAACCATCTCAAGCACTGGAGATTTCAGTACACAGCGGAAATCTTCCCAGCCCACAAAGAGCTTTTCAATTTCTGACCCACATTCATGCCAACAGACAGCAGAGAGAAGTAATGTGACAGACAGCTATGGAGTACAAATGAATAGTGATACACAGTGCTTAAATAAGTCTGACAAAATAGATGGAAAGACATCTCTTCAGATTGCTGAGAAAATGCCAGTCACATCCACAGCATTGTCTGAGGTTGAACAAACTCATTGCTTAGAGATAGTAAGCAACACAAATAATGGCAAGAGTCATTTACCCGAAAGCAAAAAGTCTGCAAAACTCAATTCTCTGTTGCAGGAAAGATTAAGTCCAGAGGACAGAACCACTGATTTGAAGGGTGACAGTTCTTACAGATCAGAGGGATCAGAAGGAATAGTGACACAGGAACATATTGAAAGAAAGAAAGAAAAAACTAAACAGCCAGTTCCACTGGTACCTGTCCCTGAATATTGTGCCTCTGAAAATGCACAGTCAGAAGAAAATCATTGTGCTTGGGAAACTCTCTCAGGTAAGACTTGTGTGTGTGTGTGTGTGCATGTCTTTTTGCACTGGTCTAGGTAAAGTGAGGAGCAGAGTAACTTTATAATTGTATTTCTGTCATGAAGGAAAGAGGCAAGAAACAAACAATTTGATGTAATTGATACGGTGCTACTCTTGCACTCATATAGGTCTGGGTTTAGATCTACCTACCTCCAGCAATTAGCTGTGTGACCTTGGGAAAGTCACTTTACTTCCTCTTCCTTCTATTTCCTTGTTTTCAAAGTTGCCTGCAGAATTTGAGAGGAGTTGTTGTGAGGATCAAAGAAGATAATGTTGGTGGAGCACTTTGCGAGCCTATGTACATTTCAGCTATTGTTATTATACCACTTCAGTTCTGTTGATTTTTAAAGTGTATTTTAAGTGAAAATGTTCATTGTCCCATTTTAAAGTTGCTCCATTTTGCCTGTGAGGTTCTAAAATACATGTAAAAGCTTATATGTACTGTATACAGGAAATTAAGTTCAAAATGCTGGGATAAATTTTTCTTATTACCTATAATTAACTCTTCACTGTATGAGGTAGAAAATCTTAACTCCCTTGAAATTGGTGAAAAATAGCCTCCTCATTCATTGTCTCTAATAGATCATCATCAAGACCTAAAAAATCAGAGGCCCACCAAACACATGCAGAAGCATGAAGAGGAAAGTTTAAGCAGTGACAGTGACCTTACTGTTTCTGTGAGTGAAGATGATCCGATTATCAGTACTACAGAACTACACCCCAATCTGGGTGACAAGGTTGATGAAGTAGATGGAATAGAGGCCTTAAAACCAATCTGTGCTGAGCAAGAGAGAGATGCCCTATCTGCTGAAAAAAATAATTGTGTTTTGCAAACTATAATCTCTCATGCCTCGGAAAAGGAATCCTCGGCTAATTCACCAACAAGAGAGTAAGCCATTAAATTTTTTCCTATTCTGTTTTTAATTGTAGACATTTTTTGGAGACCATCCCACTAAGAATGTATTATTGAACACACAACCATGAATATGTAAGTTCCTTGGAACTTATAAGTAGTCTTTTCTCTAAAGGCTAATTTCTTTTTTTATGAAATAGCTTTGAGAAATATGAATATTGTGGAATCATAGTGGTCGACAATTGATAGCATTTATGTCTAAATAATATCTAGTTAATTCACAAGTTCTTCTTTTCCCCTTATTTTAGGAAATAAGAATCTATTTTGCAATTATGTTGAAGTGGAACAGGTTTTTCAGATAGCTAACTTTTCTGGGAACCCAACTGAATTAACTAAAAACCTTGTACACAGCAAATTTGCATAATGGTTTATTCTTTTATTAGTGCTCTTTCTATAGCTGTCATATCGGTGTATTTGTTTATACACTTACCAGATGTCTATGTTTATCCATGCAAGTTGTCCATTTTAGAGTGTGAATTCCAAAGGATAGATAAATAATTCGTTATATAGTAACTAGTATGCATCCTTGAACACTTAAGTTCAAATTGATGAGCTCATACCTGAAATATTTTTGTAATGATTTATTTTGGTTATTAAATTAAGATAATAGGTAGGAAGAGTTAGTATTTTAAGTTGAGTGAATGTTTACTCAGAAAACCGAATAAATTCCAAAGTATGATCATAGCACTTTTAGAGCTGAAAGGAAAACTAACTAAAAATAATGTAGTTCCAACTTCATACATTACTGATAAGGAAACCAAGCCACATAAAGATGAAGTGGCCAGTGTAGCTAATTAATGATAGAGTTTAGATTAGAAACCAGGCTTCCTGATTCATAATGAAGTCTTTTTACATTTTATCATTTTGTCTTTCCCCAAGAACTAGTATTAGTAATAAATTCACTTAGTCTTTTTGATTAGCTTATACCTTAGCATATTTATTCAAGTCATTCTGGGGTATTGATTGGGTTAAATGTTGGTTTAGACCTAGAGGAGGAAGTGAGTAGAGACTCTTTGCCATACAGCTTCTTATATAAAGAGGAAACTAGCCAGAGCATAATAGAATCTTAATAGCTGCCTGTGCCTATGGCTTCCAAAACAGCTGAAGGTGTTTTGGAACAACATTCAGCGTTAGGCAAAACTGTGAGTTTAGTAACTACAGAGAAAGTAAACGCTCCATCTGTGGAAATCTTCAATCAGAGTCTTTTTTTCCACAAGTATATTTTAGGGGGAATTCTTGTTAAGACACAGGTTGAATAAGACAACTCTGAGTTTCCTTCAAACATTGAGATTCTATGATGTTATTATTGCCCCTTCCAGTGTATTGATTGCCTATAGGTGCAAAGTTTACACTTGGAGCACAATATACCTTTAGGCAAGCAATCAGAAAAATACTGAGTGCATCAAAAAAGCAGGAGGTATTTGAAGTACATATGAAGATTTTATATTTCTTTTCTCTTTCTTCTTTGACTTCATTCAGTACTACAACTTCAACTTTCCCTTTAGTAAAGATGACCCTCAGATCTATTTTCCTAGTCATAACCTTTCATTTGAGTTCTAGTCTCATATTTTCAGCTTTGGAATTAGTCATCTAGGGATGTACTTTTGGCATCTCAAACTTAGTGTGTTCAAAATTGAACTTATCATTACACTCCTGACACTCCTTCAAAAAAAATATTCACATTAATCCTTCTGATTGGTTACCTCTGCTTCAGTCATTTTTTACTTCTGCCCTTAGTCAACTTTCCACGTCCATTTGATTGTCAAGTCCTATTTCAACTTTGATATATCTTACACTCACCTCTTTTTTGCATCATCAATGACACCATCCTACTTCAGGCCCTCATTATATCACACCTAAACCATTTTACTACCTTCAGGTTTACCCTATCTACAGGCTCCCCTCTTACAACTATTCCAATATATTGCTACAAAATTAATTTTTCTAATGCACAGTTCTGAACACATTACTCCTCTTCTCAAAAAGCTTCATTGGCCCCCCACTTTTTATAGAATAAAGTCCCAAACTCTTTAGGTTGCCATTGGAGGCCTTTAATAGTTTGATACCAATCAACATTTCCTATCAAATATCCTATAGTACAACTAAATCAGATTACTCATTGTTCTCTGACTACAACTAGAACTTTCTGACATCATTGCCTCTACTTATGTCATGCTTGAAATTTCTTACCCTCCACATATCTGCTGGATTTCAACCATTTCTGCTGGTTGAAATCCTGTTTATCCTTAAGGTGTATTTCTACCCTTTTGACAGTTTCTTTCCTGATCTTCCTAGCCAGAAGCTACAAAGCTCAAAGCACTTTATGCCTCTTCTCTTGACTTTCACGCTGTTTTGTGTTATATTTAGTTACAAACTATTTTAACTCTTCTATTATCTCCCTATACATACTAGGTACAGCATCTTAACCTTAGAAAGTTCTCTAATAGGTGGGATGAGTTAAACTGTATAATCAACATAGATATATGTATCGTAATATCTCCACCAATAAATAATATTCTATTGATACACTTATTAGAAATTTAATTATTAGGGGTATAAATAAGGTAAGAGTCATAGAGATGAGTTACACTATGGATGAAAAAGATTATAGTGTCAAAATAAATGTAAATAGTAATGCGTGTAATTAGTAATGTAAATAGTAATGAAAATAATTACAACTATGCAAATAAGTCCCATAAAAGAGGAATCTAATAATTGTAGAAGAAAAGGGGGAGGAATGGCAAGAGATGAACACTGGAGAAAGAAATAAAGCAAAGAACATTGGGACAGGTTTGGGAGAAGGAATTCTTGAGGAAGAAAGCCAGTGTAGATGGCTTATATATTTCCCTGACCCTGGAAGCTTAAAGTTCCTGGCCTTTGTGCTGTCTGGACAAGAGGGACAATAAACTTTCTTCTCCACTTTCCCATCTACCTGCACCCTTCCCTCAAAACCTCACTTATGTCAGATTCATTTTCAGTTATTGTTTGATTATTCAGTCCTGTCCAACTCTTTGTGACTTCATGGACAGTAGCATACCAGGTCCTTCTATCCTCCACTATCTCTCAAAATCTGTACAAGTTCATGTTTGTTATTTCTGGATACTATCTATCCATCTTATTTTTTGCTATCCCCTTTTCTTTTTGCCTTCAATCTTTCCCAACATCAGGGTCTTTTCCAATGAGTCCTGTCTTCTCATTATATGATCAGAGTATTCTATAAAGTATCCCTTTGGTTATTTGATACAACATTAAAAATAGAAATTAACTTTAGTAGTATTGCCATTTTTATTAGGTTGGCATGGCCCAGCCACGAGCCCTGATTTCTCCTTCAGCTGTTTCAGTTGTTCTTTATTTCTTTAAGGAGCACTTTGAATCTACTCAAGTCTTTTGTGTGTTTGGGTAGATCAATCCACTGTTACTGTATACATTTTGTAGTTATTTGGAATGGGATTTCCCTCACTATTATTACCACTTGTATTTTGTTATTATTATGTGGAAGTGCAGTTGATTTTTGAAGATTTATACTGTAGTCTTATTTTGCTGAAGTAATTGTCAAATGATTACCACCTTTGCTGATTCCCTAGGGTTTTCCAGGTATACCATGATTTCAGCAAATAAGGATAGTTTTATTTCTTTTTCTTTGTTGTTGATGTTCAGTTATATTTGACTCTTTATGGCCCCATGGATCATAGCATGCCAATACTGTCTCTGGTTTTTTCTTGGCAAATATGCTGGAATGATTTGCCATTTCCTTCTCCAGTGGATTAAGGCAAATAGAAGTTAAGTGACTAGCTCTGGATCATACAGCTAGCAAGTGTCTGAGGTCAGATTTGAACACAGGTCTTCCTGATACCAAGTCCATCACTCTATCCACTGAGCCACCTAGCTGCTCTTCTCTTCTTTACCTAGTTTTATTCATTTAATTTCTTTTTCTTGTTTTATTATTATTGCTAGTATTTCTAGAAGTATATAAAATAATAGTGGAGAGAGTGAACATCCTTGTGTACTCCCAAAATTATTGGAAAAAGTTCTAGTGCATCCACATTACGTATGTTTGCTTTTTGCCTTAGATGCTTTTTATGATATTAAAAAGTTGCTTTATACCTATGTTTCCTAAAGTTTTTAGCATAAGAGAATGTTGTACTTTGATATCAAAGGCTTTTTATGCATATAATGATAATCATGTGGTTTTGGATGTTTTGGTTTTTAAGTCAGTTAATTATGTTGTTTTCCTAATGTTAAAGCATTCTTACATCCCTGGTATAAATCTAACTTGGCCATAAGGAATGATTCCTTGGATAAATCACTGTAGTCTGTTTGACAGAATTTTGTTTAAAATTTTTGATTCAATATTTATTAATGATATTGGTATATAATTTTCCTGTTGTGTTTTATCCTCTGATTTAAATATTAGGACAATGTTTGTTCCATAAAAGGATTCTGGTAGGGTGCTTTCTTCCTCTATTTTTGAATACCATTTCTCCAGTATTGATAGTAATTGTTCTTCAGCGTTCTCCTGTGAATCTATTTCTTTGATAATTCCTTTATAACTAATTTTATATCCTTTTCTGACTTTCAGTTAAGTCTGTCTGTTCTTCTGTCAATTTGGGTATTTTGTATTTTTGAAAGAGCTAGCATTTGGTTTTATTTCATCCATTTAATTATTAAATCCATTATTTCTATGTTTTTCCCTTTTTTACCTATTTCTCTTGTAATTTTAATATACCGTCTTGCATACTTATTTTAGGTTTATTTATTGGTTTTCTAATTTTTTAGAATACACATTCAGTTCATTAGTGTTCTTTTCTGTCTAGTTAATGGAAGTTTATAGGGATATGATTTTTTCACCTGAGGATTATTTTAGCTGCCTTCCAGAAATTTTGGTATGCTGTTACAACATTGTCATCTTATTTTACATAATTATTGATTGTTTCTGTGGTTTGTTCTTTGACCTACTCATTGTTTAAAATGTCATT